GTGCCCCCCGCCCCCCACATCTGCCCCCACAGTGCCCCCCTGCCCGCCCCTTGGCCCTCACGCCTGCAGCTCTCCCCCTTCCCCAGGCCTGTCTCTTCCCTGCAGGCACCTGGAGAACCACGATGTCGTTCAGCAGGCGCGTGGGGTCGTAGCCGTTCTCGAACACACGCTGCACCCTGAACGTCTGCCGGGTGGCGCGCTCTGCCTGCCGCAGGTTGTGAGCGCCCAGCACGGCAGACACCGACTGGGCGTTCCTGTGGGGAGGGGATGGAGGAGGGTGTGGGTGGTCGCGTGGTGGGGCGCAAGGGATCCCCTCCCCGGGGACTTTCCCAGAGCCATCAGGGAGAGGGGGGAGCCCTGGTGACCCCAGACTCAGGACAGGCTCACAGGAGCCCTGCAATCATCACCCCGGACACACTGGGGACCCCCAGGCTGGGAGCTGGAGGGGACACTCACCTGCCATTCACGCAGTGTGCCGCAGACAAGACGAAGTTGGGGGCAATCAGGGTCCCCCCGCAGAAGTGGCCCCCACGCTGCTGCAGGGACACCATGAAGGGCCATGCGTGGGGCCTGGCCGGCCGGCCACCCACAATCTCAGAGGCCAGTGTGGGGCCTGCAGGCCGGGGGACATACAGGGTGGGGATGGTAAGGGCCTGAGAGGTGGCACTCCAAGAACACACGGCAGATGGGGAAACTGAGGCAGAGAGCAGAGCAAGGATTACCCACAGATCCCCTACACTTAAGTCTGGCTGCTAGATCTCCCCCCACCAGTGGATGTGAGGAACCCCCAGTTCTGGGCTCTTGGGCCTTGGTGACTTGTTTTTTTTTGGGTCCGGTCATGGGGCCTGAACTCAGGGCCTGGGTGCTGTCCCTCAGCTTTTCAGCTCAAGGCTAGTGCTCTACCACTTAAGCCACAGCGCCACTTCCAGCTTTTTTCTTTTTGCTTATGTGGTGCTGAAGAATGAAACCCAGGGCCTCATGCATGCAAGGCAAGCACTCTACCACTGAGCCACCTTCCCAGCCTGTGACTTCTTTTTTTTGTTGTTGTTGGTCATGGGGCTTGAACTCTGGGCCTGGGTGCTGTTCCCCAACTCTTCAGCTCAAGGCGAGGGCTCTACCGCCACAGCTCCACTTCTGGTTTTCTGGTGGTTTACTGGAGATAAGAATCTCACGGGGGCTGGGAAGGTGGCTCAGTGGTAGAGCGCTTGCCTTGCATGCTTGAGGCCCTAGGTTCGATTCCTCAGCACCACATAAGCAGAAGAAAAAGCCGAAAGTGGTGCTGTGGCTCAAGTGGTAGAGTGCTAGCCTTGAGCTGAAGAGCTGAGGGACAGCGCCCAGGCCCAGAGTTCAGGCCTCATGACCACCCCCCCCCCAAAAAAAAAAGAGTCTCAGGGACCTTCCTGCCATGGCTGGCTTTGAACTGTGCTCCTCAGATCTCAGCCTCTTAGGTAGTTAGGATTACAAGCGTGAGCTACCAGTGCCTGGCTGGTGACTTTTCTTTCTTTCTTTCTTTCTTTCTTTCTTTCTTTCTTTCTTTCTTTCTTTCTTTCTTTCTTTCTTTCTTTCTCTCTTCCTTTCTTTCTTGTCAATCCTGGGGCTTGAACTCAGGGCCTAGGCACTGTCCCTCAGTCTGTCTGTGCTCAAGGCTAGTACTCTACTACTTGAGTCGCAGCACCACTTCTGTATGTGGTACTGAGGAATCGAACTCAGGGCTTCATGCATGCTAGGCAAGCACTCTACCACTAAGCCCCTTCCAACTTGAACTCGGAGTCTGGATGCTGTCCCTGAGCTTTTTGCACTCAAGGTTAGAGCTCTACCTCTTGAGCCACACTTCCATCTTTTTGCTGGTTCATTGGAGATAGTCTCACAGACTTTCTCACCTGGTTTGTACCATGATCTTCAGATCTCAGCCTCCTGAGGTCCTAGGATTGCAGGTGCAGGCCACCTGTGCCCTGGCTGGCAATTTCCTTTTCCTCCTCCGACTCCTCCTTCTTGCCAGCTCTGGGGCCTGAACCACAGGTGCTTGGCTTGCTTGCTTTCTGGGTTCCTTGTCCTAGCTGCCATCCACCCATGAGTATGAGTCAAGCATACCCATGGGTGATGGGAAAGAGCCAGATGGACACCAAGAGGTTGGCCAGCACTAGTCAGGCACGGGTGGCTCACGCCAATAATCCTACCTACTCAGGAGGCTGAGATCTAAGGTTCACAGTTCAAAGCCAGCTTGGATAGGGAAGTCTTATGAGGGCTGGGAAGGTAGCTTAATGGTAGAGTGCTTGTCTCCCAGGCATGAAGCCCTGGGTTCGATTCCTCAGTACCACATACACTGAGAAAGCCAGAGTGGTGTTGTGGCTCAAGTGGTAAAGTGCCAGTCTTGGGCCAAAAAGCAAGGGACAGCACCCAGGCCCCAAATTCAAGTCTCAGCATGCACACCCATGCACGGATGCACACACGAGGATGATCATCACTCACCGCTTAATAGCAAGGCCAGCAGCGCAGCCATGAGAGCAGGGCTGGAGGGCGGGGAGATGGAGGTCATGGCGGTTCCGGGCTCCCTGAGGGCTCTGTACCCACCTGGGGCCCGCCAGGCTCTCTTATAGCCCACACAGGGAGGCCGTTGCATTGCCCCACCCCAGCTGGAACCCCATTTCCTCTCCGGGAACATGCAGGGAGTAAAAGGAGGGGGGGCCCAGGCTGGCAGCATGGTCTCCAGGTTTCATTCAGAACGCACAATTTTATTGTGTATGAGTATGTCCCAAATATAGCACATGACATGCGTTGGTCACCATCTCTCTGCTGTCCACCTGTCACCTGGCAGACTCACCAAGAACTGAGAGGCCTTGATTGGCCCTGGTGCCTCAGTTTTTGCAGAGCAAGGCAAACACCAGACTTGTTATTTCACTGGGGCCTGGACTCTGTCCCTGAGCCTGTCTGTGCTCCAGGCCAGCCCCCTACCCCTTGAGCCACAGCACCACTTCTGGCTTTTTCTGTTGATGTGGTACTGAGAAACCAAACCCAGGGCTTCATGCATGCTAGGCAAACACTCTACCACTAACCTACATTCCCAGCCCTAATTTTTTATTGTTGTTATTAAGGTGATGTTCAGAGGAATGACAGCGACATACGTCGGATAAAGAGTACATTCCTGTGCTGGTGGCTCACACCTGCAATCCTAGCTACTCAGGAGGCTGAGATCTGAGGATCGCGGTTCAAAGCCAGCCTGGGCAGGAAAGTCTGTGAGACTCTCTTTTTTTTTTT